TTGTGACAATGTTGCGCCAGTAGGTTGCACTCATTTTTTGCTCTACATTGTTTTTCGTTTTCTATCATCTATTCGCCTGCCACCGCTCCAGAAAGTTTGTCTGGGTCTGCTTTATTGACACAGATTCTACTAGACCAGCCTGGAGGATATCTGATCAAGAATTCTGGTGACAATTAATATTTCACTTTTGGTGAATTCTCAACCCCGTTGACCATTGGCAGCCGTATTCCCCATTGGGGCCTGCACATACTTACGTCCTGTGTCTTTTTACAGATGGCTGGTTCCAGTGTAGCAGTAGCACCTTAATGGTGCTACTACTTATTACATTGTTAACACTGATGACTCCGCTAATCTACAATAGCCATGATCTCAAGACCATTTGTAACCATAAAGCTGGTTTACCACTAGGCATCTACCATACATTGAAAGAACTACATGTAGGTACATGTATCTATGCTGTAAAACCCACACGACGGGGGCCACAGATCATGGACCAAACAACATAAAAGGCTAATTCCTGTCTTAGTACCGTCATGTACAAAGCAAGAGAGTAAACAACACTCGGGACAATATGGTTCCAATCCTATCAGCCTTGTGCATATTTTATCTGACATAACGTTCTCATCTTGCTGTAATTTAATAATTGGCTGTTTGACTGCTATGATTTATGATATAAGCATACAACAGCATTGATATCTGTGCTATTACATAAACCTGGTTGAGTGGTGATCATCGTCATCACCTGAGTGGTGACCATCGTGATCACCATACTCTGGCTGATCTCAAGAACACCCTACTTGATTTTGAGTTTTATCACATCCCTCACATGAACACGGCTGGAGGAGGGGTTCTTGTACGCTTAAAATAGGGTTCCATGTTCATCGGCATGAAGTAACAGTATATGATGCCATTGAACACATTGACTTGTCCAGTAACTCACCTTCTAATGCAACTCTCCGTCTCACATTTGTATACAGACCCCAGAGATTGCTCAACCAAAAGCCAACAGCTACACTTTTTATGCAAGAATTTTCTACATTGCTGGAACATATTGTTTATGATGCCAATCATATAATGATAGCAGTTGATTTTAACTTTCATTTTGACAATCGATCTGATAGAGAGGCGTCTGCATTTCGTGACCTCCTTGAATCTACAGGTCTGAAACAGCACGTGTCTGGTCCAACGCATTGTGACGGTCATACATTGGATCCTCTTTTAACAAGGTCTTTCGACAGTTTTATCTCCCAACTGACCACAAGTGATGCCATCTGTTCACGCTTGTGTCATCTGTAAGTTAGGCATTGGTCACCCTGTTGCTGCTAATGTGGACGTCCAGACGCACAAACTCTGTGACGTTGACTTAGATACATTCCGTCAGGACATCTTGAATTCTTCTTCCCCAAGAGATTTGCTTAATCAGCATGCACTCCTACAAAAACGTCACATCAGAGCGGGTCCTCGTGCCCTGGTTTAACAATGACATTGAATCAGCCAAGTGTGAGCTGCATTGTCATGAGCAGCGTCGGTCACTATAGCAGTGTCGTCACTATAACCAACTGATGTCCACAATGCTATGCATTTTATAGATGAGCTCACTCCAACCAACATTATCAATTTGAGTTTCCAAAATGGCTGTTTTCCCAATGCATTAAGGTTTGCCAACTTCATACCGCTTATCAAGAAACAGAACCTTGACCCTGACAATCTGAGGAACTACCGACCAATTGCCAATCTGTCTTTCCTCGGGAAAACCATAGAGCGTGCAGTGACTTCACAAATACAGTGTCATCTAGCTACTCACAATCTCACAGTTACAATGCAGTCAGCCTACCGGAAATACCTTAGTGTGGAAACGGCTCTTCTACGTGTTTACAATGAACTGCTGCTTGCTGCTGATAATGGTCAAGTGGCCGTTCTTGTGCTTCCTGATTATTCGGCAGCTTTTGATACGATTGATCACGATATCATGCTACAACTTATACATGTACATCATAGCTTTGGCGTCAACGACACTGCCTTAGAATGGTTCACCTCATATTTCGCAAATCGTCAACAATCTGTACTTATGACTAAGATTTCATCTCCCCCCCCAATGTCAATACCGGAGTGCCACAGGGGTCTGTCCTAGGTCCACTATGCTTCACATTGTACACATCCCCACTGGAAGATCTCATTACATCATATGGCTTCAGCTTGTATGATCTGTGCTGATGATATTCAACTTTACATCACCATGACAGAACAGCAGTGTCTTGACGCCATTCAGAAATTGGAATCATACTTCACACACATACATTTTTGGTCCACAGCTAATAAGCTCAAATTGAAAAGTGACAAAACTGAAGTCATCCACATCACCTCTCAGTTTAGGCAACATACTCCAATTGAAACTATCTGCATCTCCGTCTCCTGCACCAGACCCATCACTAGCGCCTGTGACCTTGGAACCATTGTCACGTCAGATGCATTTCAACCACTAGGAATAGAAACACAGTCCCATGGATAATTATTAATGTAATAATGTTATCTTATTAAACTGAAGCCTTGTTAAGCTAACTTTTTTAAAATCATGTATTTGAACAATATAATGCAAATGCTTCTCAGGCACCTTTGGATGGTAAATTTTGTAGGTAGTGTACCTAAGTAAAAGCTACATTGCGTCAAACTTGGAAATAATGGTACGCATACATGTACAGGGTGTCCACATAAAAAAGTATACCAAGATCAAAATTACTGTCATGGCAAAACTACATGTACTTTAAATATGGGAAAGAGAAATAGATCTCTAGAAATGGCAGAATTGTCCTCTTTGGAAGGGAATACAGCTTATCATGTTCTTGACACAGATGAGTGAACAAACTAGACCAATGTTAAGGGTACTGAAATCAGCACCGTGACAAGTTTGCATATTTGATTAACAAGGCTCAACTATGCAAGTGTGTAGAATACAAAATACCTGAACCTTTGCTTTAAGAACACATTCTTAAAAACAAGGAATGTACCTACATGTAAATCAATCTAATCTGCTTTGGCTTTGCTACTTACATATACCTCATAAGTGATGTGATGTGAATGCACACTTGACATCTTTGTAACATGTCCCTTACTGCTCGTCTGGTCATTACAGTGTCTTGATGGAGATTACTGACTTCTTCCATTATTCTTGCACATTATTTCTGAACAATGGCTGGGGGTGTAGTGGAGGTTTTTGTTCTGCAGGTAACCCCATCAAAAGAAGTTGCATGGTGTCAAATCCGGCAAATGTGGCAGCCATTCAATTTTATTGTAAACAGAAATTACTTTGTTCCCCAAAAGTTCTGCCAGATGTTACCTCGTAGCAACAAGTCTGTAAGGTGGGGTGCCATCCTGCATGAGCCCACGATACCCTCCTGAAAGCTCTATGTCGCCTCGGGAATATTTGTTCCATTGCTGGCACCACCGATTTATTCATCAGATTCCAATAGTCCTGTCCATTGAAATTTCCTTGGAAGAAAACTGGTCCTGATAATGATCCACCACCAAGCAATGCAACCCAGACATTCACCCTCTCCCTGCTCATGTTTCGTTCATGAGATACAGCTGCAGGTTGATTATGATGTTCAGTATATACTTGCTCGTTATGGAAGTTAACTGTTCAATTCATACAAAAACCTGCCTCATCTCCAGTAATAAAGAATTTAAGAAACTGTTCATCCCTGTTACATTCATCCACAAACCACCGTGAAAATCTGACTCTTTCGTTATAATTTGCTGGCAAGAATTGATGCTGAATATGGATGTGATAGGAGTGAAGGTGTTATTCCATTCTTGTGATGTTGTTGAACACTGAACAGTGTTGAAGTGACCATCACAAGACCAGACACAAGACCATGCACAAGACCAGTCACAAGTAACAGGGTGAATAATGACAAAGGAATGCTTTTGTTGTAGTTCAATTGAATAGCTTGTGGCTTTAATTCAGACTGGAGGTCCTGTATTGGTCTTGTCTTGCTTGTGTGGTCTTGTGAAGGTC